GCGCGTGCTGCAGGTGGGACCCCAGGGCTGGAGACAGGTGAGCTGCGACTGCGTGGCGCAGCTGCAGGAGCGCTACGGGAAGTGAGGGCAAAAAACGGGATTTTGGGCAAAAAAAAAATGGGGGTTTTTGGGGAATAAAGTGGAAATTGTCTGGAATTTTTTGTGATTTTTTTGTGTTTTTTTTCGGATTTTTCTCGGGGTTTTTTTGGGATTTTTTGGGGGAATTTTGGGGAAAAATTGGGGGGTAAAAATGGAATTTTTGGGGAATTTTTTGGGATTTTTTGGGATTTTTTGGGTATTTTTTTGGGATTTTTTTGGGATTTTTTTGGGATTTTTTGTGGGATTTTTTGTGATTTTTTTGTGTTTTTTTGGGGGATTTTTTTGGTGATTTTTTATGGGACTTTTTGTGATTTTTTTGAGATTTTTTGGGGATTTTTTTTCGTTTTTTTATGATTTTTTGGGGAATTTTATTGTGATTTTTTTGGGATTTTTTGTGATTTTTTTTGGATTTTTTTATGATTTTTTTATGATTTTTTTGGTGATTTTTTTGGTGATTTTTTTGTGATTTTTTTGAGATTTTTCTGTAATTTTTTTCTGATTTTTTTATGATTTTTTTGAGATTTTTCTGTAATTTTTTAAGGATTTTTGGGGGACGTTTTGGTGTAAAAAACGGGGATTTCTTTTGGTGTAAAATTGCCATTTTTGGGGCGAGAGTCGGGGGGCAGCGAGCGCGTGCTGCAGGTGGGACCCCAGGGCTGGAGACAGGTGAGCTGCGACTGCGTGGCGCAGCTGCAGGAGCGCTACGGGAAGTGAGGGCAAAAAACGGGATTTTGGGCAAAAAAAAAATGGGGGTTTTTGGGGAATAAAGTGGAAATTGTCTGGAATTTTTTGTGATTTTTTTGTGTTTTTTTTCGGATTTTTCTCGGGGTTTTTTTGGGATTTTTTGGGGGAATTTTGGGGAAAAATTGGGGGGTAAAAATGGAATTTTTGGGGAATTTTTTGGGATTTTTTGGGATTTTTTGGGTATTTTTTTGGGATTTTTTTGGGATTTTTTTGGGATTTTTTGTGGGATTTTTTGTGATTTTTTTGTGTTTTTTTGGGGGATTTTTTTGGTGATTTTTTATGGGACTTTTTGTGATTTTTTTGAGATTTTTTGGGGATTTTTTTTCGTTTTTTTATGATTTTTTGGGGAATTTTATTGTGATTTTTTTGGGATTTTTTGTGATTTTTTTTGGATTTTTTTATGATTTTTTTATGATTTTTTTGGTGATTTTTTTGGTGATTTTTTTGTGATTTTTTTGAGATTTTTCTGTAATTTTTTTCTGATTTTTTTATGATTTTTTTGAGATTTTTCTGTAATTTTTTAAGGATTTTTGGGGGACGTTTTGGTGTAAAAAACGGGGATTTCTTTTGGTGTAAAATTGCCATTTTTGGGGCGAGAGTCGGGGGGCAGCGAGCGCGTGCTGCAGGTGGGACCCCAGGGCTGGAGACAGGTGAGCTGCGACTGCGTGGCGCAGCTGCACGAGCGCTACGGGAAGGGAGCGGGGATTTGGGGCAAAAACACGGGAATTTGGGCAAAAATAAAGTGGAATTCATCTGGAATTTTTTGTGATTTTTTGTGGTTTTTTTGGAATTTTTTTGGGATTTTTTGGGGATTTTTTGGGGTTTTTTTGGGGATTTTTTGTCATTTTTTTCTGATTTTTTTTTGAATTTTTTAGGTATTTTTTTATGATTTTTTGGGATTTTTTGGGGATTTTTGGGGCATTTTTGGGGATTTTTTTCTGATTTTTTTGTGATTTTTTTGGGGATTTTTTTGGGGATTTTTTGTGATTTTTTTGTGATTTTTTGAGATTTTTTTCTGATTTTTTTTGTGATTTTTTTGTGATTTTTTTGTGATTTTTTTGGGGATTTTTTGAGATTTTTTTGTGATTTTTTGGGGATTTTTTTGTGATTTTTTTGAGATTCTTTTTGGATTTTTTTGGTGATTTTTTGTGATTTTTTTGTGATTTTTTTGTGATTTTTTTTTGAGATTTTTTTGTGATTTTTTTATGATTTTTTTGTGATTTTTTTGTGATTTTTTTGTGATTTTTTGCAATTTTTTTATGATTTTTTTGTGATTTTTTTGAGATTTTTCTGTAATTTTTTAGGGATTTTCCGGGGACGTTTTGGTGTAAAAAACGGGGATTTCTTTTGGTGTAAAATTGCCATTTTTGGGGCGAGAGTCGGGGGGCAGCGAGCGCGTGCTGCAGGTGGGACCCCAGGGCTGGAGACAGGTGAGCTGCGACTGCGTGGCGCAGCTGCACGAGCGCTACGGGAAGGGAGCGGGGATTTGGGGCAAAAACACGGGAATTTGGGCAAAAATAAAGTGGAATTCATCTGGAATTTTCTGTGAATTTTTGTGGTTTTTTTGGGATTTTTTGGGATTTTTTTGGATTTTTTGGGGGATTTTTTGAGATTTTTTTGTGATTTTTTTGTGATTTTTTTGGGATTTTTTGTGATTTTTTTGGGATTTTTTGGGAATTTTTTTGGGATTTTTTTTTTGGATTTTTTGGGGATTTTTTGTCATTTTTTTCTGATTTTTTTTGGAATTTTTTAGGGATTTTTTTATGATTTTTCGGGATTTTTTGGGGATTTTTGGGGCATTTTTGGGGATTTTTTTCTGATTTTTTTGTGATTTTTTGAGATTTTTTTGTGATTTTTTTTGGGATTTTTTGTGATTTTTTTTGGATTTTTTGGGGATTTTTTGTGATTTTTTGAGGGATTTTTTGAGATTTTTTTGGGAATTTTTTGAGATTTTTTGGGGATTTTTTTTGGGATTTTTTGAGATTTTTTTGTGATTTTTTGGGGGATTTTTTTGGGATTTTTTGGGATTTTTTTTTATTTTTTGGGGGATTTTTTGGGATTTTTTGTGGTTTTTTTGTGATTTTTTTGTTATTTTTTTGTGATTTTTTTGTGATTTTTTTGGATTTTTTTTTGATTTTTCAGGGGATTTTTGGGGAAAAATTGGGGGGTAAAAATGGAATTTTTGGGGAATTTTTTGAGATTTTTTTTGATTTTTTGGGGATTTTTTGGTGATTATTTGGGATTTTTTAGAGATTTTGTTGAGATTTTTTTGTGATTTCTTGGGGATTTTTCCGGATTTTTTGGGAATTTTTTAAGGATTTTTTTATGACTTTTCTGGGATTTTTTGTCGATTTTTTGGGGATTTTTTTGGGGGATTTTTTGTGATTTTTTCGTGATTTTTTGAGATTTTTTGGGAATTTTTTTTGGGATTTTTTGGGAATTTTTTGGGAATTTTTTGGATTTTTTTGGGGGGGAATTTTTGGGAATTTTTTTTGAGGAAAAACCCTGGGAATTTCGGGCCCAAACCCCGGAATTTTGGGTCTTCCCCGACCTTTCCCCCCTCCCCCGGCGCGGAAATGACGTCAGACGGATGCAAACGAGATGCAAACGAGATGCAAACGAGATGCAAATGAGATGCAAACGAGGCCACGACGTTTTATTGGCGATTTCAGCGGCGACGGCGGAAACCTGGGGGGGGAAACTGGGAGTGACTGGTTTGAACTGGTTTGGACTGGTTTGGACTGGTTTGGACTGGTTTGAACTGGTTTTTACTGGTTTAAACCGGATTAAACCGGATTAAACTGGTTTATACTGGTTTATACTGGTTTGGACTGGTTTATACTGGTTTAAACTGGTTTATACTGGTTTGAACTGGTCTGAACTGGTTTATACTGGTTTATACTGGTTTATACTGGTTTGGACTGGTTTGGACTGGTTTGGACTGGTTTGGACTGGTTTATACTGGTTTATACTGGTTTGGACTGGTTTGGACTGGTTTAAACTGGTCTGGACTGGTTTGGACTGGTTTGAACTGGTTTGGACTGGTTTGAACTGGTTTATACTGGTTTGGACTGGTTTGGACTGGTTTGAACTGGTTTAAACTGGTTTATACTGGTTCAAACTGGTTTAAACTGGTTTAGACTGGTTTGGACTGGTTTGAACTGGTTTATACTGGTTTAGACTGGTTTAGACTGGTTTATACTGGTTTATACTGGTTTAAACTGGTTTTTACTGGTTCAAACCGGTCTAAACTGGTTTTTACCGGTTTAAACTGGTTTTTACTGGTTCAAACCGGTTTATACTGGTTTATACTGGTTTGGACTGGTTTTTACTGGTTCAAACCGGTCTAAACTGGTTCAAACCGGTCCAAACTGGTTTTTTCTGGTTTTTCCCCTCTCACCTTTTCTCCCTTTTCTTTTCCCCATTTTGGGTTTTTTTCTCTTTTTCCGCGGCGGCTCCGACGATTCCTGAGGGGGGGAAATTCACAAAATTCCCACATTTCAGCCCAAAATTCCCCAAAATTCCCCAATTTCACCTCAAAATTCCCCAATTTCAGCCCAAAATTCACAAATTTCACCTCAAAATTCCCCAAAGTTCCCAAATTTAACCCCAAAATTCATCAATTTCAGCCCAAAATTCCCCAAAATCCCCCAATTTCACCTCAAAATTCCCGTTTTTATCTCAAAAATTCCCAAATTTTACCCAAAAAATCCCAAATTTCAACCCCAAAATTCCCAAATTTCAGACCAAAATCCCCCAAAATTCCCACATTTAACCCAAAATTCCCCAATTTCACCCCAAAATTCCCCAAAATTCCCCAATTTCACCCCCAAATTCCCAAATTTTACCTCAAAATTCCCCAAAATTCCCACATTTAACCCCAAAATTCCCAAATTTCACCCCAAAATTCCCCAATTTCAGCCCAAAATCCCCCAAAATTCTCAAATTTCAACCCAAAATTCCCCAAAATTCTTATTTCTCACCCCAAAATTCCCCAATTTCACCCCAAAATTCCCAAATTTCACTTCAAAATCCCCCAAAATTCCCAGATTTAACCCAAAATTCCCCAATTTCAACCCCAAAATTCCCAAATTTCACCCCAAAATTCCAAAAATCCCCAAATTTCATCCCAAAATTCCGACATTTAACCCAAAATTCCCCAAAATTCCCCAATTTCACCCCAAAATTCCCCAATTTCAACCCCAAAATTCCTCAATTTCACCTCAAAATTCCCCAAAGTTCCCAAATTTCACTCCAAAATTCCCACATTTAACCCCAAAATTCATCAATTTCACCCCAAAATTCCCCAATTTCACTTCAAAATCCCCCAAAATTCCCACATTTAACCCAAAATTCCCCAATTTCAGACCAAAATCCCCCAATTTCACCCCAAAATCCCCCAAAACTCACAAATTTCACCCCAAAATCCTCAAATTTCAGTCCAAAATTTCCCAAAATTCCCCAATTTCACCCCAAAATTCCCAAAATTCTCCAATTTCAACCCAAAATTCCCCAAAATTCTTATTTCTCACCCCAAAATTCCCAAATTTCACCCAAAATTCCCTCAAATTTTTTTTCTGATTTTTTCATTTTTCCCATTTTTTCCCCATTTTTCCCCAATTTTCCCCATTTTCCCCCAATTTTTCCCAATTTTTCCCATTTCTTCCCCAATTTTCCCCATTTCCCGCCATTTCCCCCCCCAAGCCCCGCCCCCCTCTCACCTGATTGGCCGCTCCCAAAAGGGCGGGAAAAGCCCCGAAGTTGGTGACGTCATCCAGGCCAGGCCCCGCCCCCCG